TGCACAGTCTCTTTCTCTAAAAAAATAAAATAATAATAAAAAAACTAAGAGTCAAATCTAAAACTAGTATTAGTAAGAGCTAATATCCAGCCAGGGCTGAATTCTATGGGGGCCTAGTATGGACTTGCTTGTGTCCTTTGGGTTGATGGACTCAGTACAGAAAATTCCCGTGAGAGCTTTTTCTATCAAATGGCATGTTTTTCTTAAATGAGAAATACTCTGCTCTCAAGTTGTGAAGCAGAATGTCGATGGAATGAGAAATCTGTGAGGCAGGGAGGCCACACACACAAAGGCATTCTGGTGAAGCATCTCCATCCTCAGAAGCCTGGGTCAGGTGTGCCGTGATCCTGGGTCTGTCTCCTTCTCTTTTTCTTTCTAAAGGTGGATGAAGGACCAGTCACTGAATCCTGCCCATTATTTGTTCTCAAGAACTTGAATCACAGGTAGAGTGGCTCCCTGTAATTTTCATTGACTGCTTTGTGCATCGACTCTTCACCCTGTAGCAGTTTGGTCTGACTTAAGAAAAATGTAACGAGGACACTGTTTTAGTTTTTGCTTGGGTGTAGTTCAATCAATAAAAGAAAATGGGTAGTTTCATAAAAACAACATGGAATTACAGCTGGAGGGTAGTGGGGAGTTCCAAGTGCGTCCTCCAAAAATATGTGTGTGATCAGAAAAGTTTCTGCTTCTCTTGGTTTTCTAATTAGAAGTGAGCAAAATACTGCTGTGTAAATGAACAGATGAATTTTTAAAAAAATTATCAGGAGTATCAAGAAATGTGGTGGTATATTAGGTAACCTGGAATAAACATTTTTTCCTGATTTTGGGCTCATAGAAAAACTGTCAAAACCTCAAAAGAAATTCCATGCTTTGAAATTATGTTTTCCTCTTAAAGGACTCCTGTTTTGTGTTCAGTCAGAAATTGGCTGGCAAGGCAGCTAACCCTGAGCAAATTGTTTCTGTGGCTCCGGACATCTGTGGGGGGCGACAGCTAACACTGCGCGGGTTCTGGAGAGTGGAGTATGTGAATTTCTTACCACAAATGTGTAATGTTCTCCATTGGCATTACAGTGAGCCAACCCCACTATTGTGGGGTCGAATATATAACTTTATTTTTTTTTAAAGATTTTATTTATTTGACAGAGAGAAAGAGACCGTGAGAGAGAGAGAGCACAAGCAGGGGGAGTGGGAGAGGGAGAAGCAGGCTTCCCGCTGAGCAGGGAGCCCAATGTGGGGCTTGATCCCAGGACCCTGGGATCATGACCTAAGCCGGAGGCAGACACTTAACTGACTGAGCCACCCAGGGGCCCTTATTAAATTTTTTTTTTTTAAGATTTTATTTATTTGACAGAGAGAGACACAGCGAGAGAGGGAACACAAGCAGGGGGAGTGGGAGAGGGAGAAGCAGGCTCCCCGCCGAGCAGGGAGCCCGATGCGGGGCTCGATCCCAGGACCCTGGGATCATGACCTGAGCCAAAGGCAGACGCTTAACCAACTGAGCCACCCAGGCGCCCCCAAATATATAACTTTAAATACTTCAAAAGGATAGTTCTGAAGATGGTAAAATGTCACAAGACTAAAACTTTGTATTATGATACTGTGAACTTCCTAAGTCTTAAATTTATTTTTAAAATTTTTAAAGATTTATTTTAGAGTGCTTGCAAGTGGGGGGAGGGGCAGAGGGAGAGAGAGAATCTCAAGCAGACTCCACAATGAGCACAGAGCCCGATACGGGGCTCGATCTCACGATCCTGAGATCACGACCTGAGCTGAAACCAAGAGTCAGATGCTTAACTGACCGAGCCACCCAGGCACCGCCTAAGTCGTCAATTTAAGTGAAAAAGTAAGAAGTTTGGTCTGAAACCTCTGGAAATATATCATGCAAGTGAGGGTTTGCGGTTTTGATATCTGGCATCTGGGGAAGCAGGCCAGAGGCAGGTGGAAACCAGACATTTGTGTTACACACTATTACTTATGGGCTGATGTTTTCTCGGGATGTGTCTCCTTTGGTCGTGCTAGTGATCTGCATGTTGTCCACACCTGCCCGCCTTTTGCTGTGCGGGCAGCATCTAGTCTGAGGTTTGCCCCGCCCCCAGCCCCTGTCTGGTCAGGTGAGGAGATGCAGGACCACATTTCAGTTGCTGCTCTCCGCAGGAAGCACGCCGCTCCTACCTGTCTTTCCTTCAAGATGGGTTGGAAGTGAAAACGGGAGCTTATGTAATCCTCCCAACACTAGAGGATGATATATGTTGGCAAAGAAGTATGTGGAGATTTTGGATAGACAGTGTTCTTTATTTTTAAGTAGTCCCCAAATTTGGAGAGCTGCTTAGAATATTCTTAGAATAGGAGAATTATGTAAGGATTGAGTTCTGGGATTTCTGAATGAAAATTTGTTCATTAAAATCATTAGGCGGGGATGAATGAGCATGTTTGTAAGTTTTGTGTCTGAGTGCTGGGGAGGGTATCAGCAGACCCACTGTACCCACCAGGGTGCCATGACAGCTGTCTTCTAGTAACGCAGTCAGTGCAACATGACTTCTGTTCCCTGGGAGCCGCACGCCATTTTGTCCCGTCAGTCCTGGATTCACTTGGCATCAGGTCGGCTCCATGCACAGGGAAGGCGTTTACTGCCCTTTCCCTCCGGGGATCAGACGTGGGCCTCTAGTGCGTCCTACACATGGCTGCCCACCTCCTTTCTGATGGGCGTTCCACAACTGCAGCTTAGATTTAGCCCTGTATACCTAGTGATCGTGGGACCCTGGACCGGTCTTCACCGATGAAAACTTTGTAATAGGAATGTCCGTACGGCTGAATCAGTCATACTTGGGCATGTGTCATTTTATTGTTTGTTGTCTCAAAAAATAAAATGCACATCTTTTCTGTTTTTTAAGTAGGCTCCGTGTCCAGCACGGGGCTTGAACTCACAACCCTGAGATCATAAGAGTTGCGTGCTCTACTGACTGAGCCAGCCAGGTGCCCCAAAATGCATGTCTTTTGACACAAACCATTACTTTTGAGATGTTCCAATCTATATTTGGAATAGGTCTCTTAGAAAAAACTGGAACATTTGGCTTTTCATAGATTTTCAGCAATTTTTCTTGATGACCCAGATTTTCTCTTGTTCATGAGGTGAGGTTTTCCTGATGCAGTGGTTTCTCGGCCTTACATACTTGCTTGGTTGCACGTGGCATGGATTGCATTTTTTTTCCTTATTTCTGGTTAATGTACATCAAGGATTCCTTTTAATGGCTCACCTGTAAGTGGCTTTTAGCATTGGAATGATGGCTTTCACAGAGATACACTTTTGCCCGCGGTGAAGCCTAGGCCATGGGGGCACCCCCCACCCCGATCTCCGTCCAACCTCCCTGGCCCAGTGAAAACTCAGAGCAAGGCCTGGAGTAGAGTCCACCTGCCAGGGAAATGAGGGTTACAGACAGCAAAAGCAATCCTAGAGGTGGATGTGGGACCCTCTTGGGCTTATGTCAAAGTCCTCTGTTCTTCACAGGACGTATGCTGCTCCTTACACCCCAAGGAACAAGGTAGATCTCCTCTACCCTCTTCCCTGACCCCGAGTTTATGTCATCAGAGGAGATAGAGTATGTTGGGTGAACGTGCAAAGATCCTCGTTAGCACGGAGGCCACGGCATTCCTCCCTGGCTGAGCGTTGCGTGTGCTCTGTCCACCCTCTGCTGCTAGATAGAAAGGCCTGGCTCTCTCCACATTTCCCCTGGAAACAGGACAGGTCTGTGATAGTAGGCACCTCCAGGAGACTCAGCCTTATTTTGACTCACGGGATACAGGGTGGAGTTGGGGGGATGGGACAAATAAATGGAGTGTGGGTGTCCCAAGTGCGCCAAGTGCAGCGAGAAGAGAATGTCTGACAAGAGGCAAGGAGGTGCGTCCTCCTACCCACTCCGTATCGAGCTTCTTCCCACTCCACCCTTGTAGAACTGCTCTGCATCTTCTGAGTGGACAGAGTTAATGTCCAGGACAAAATCAGCTCTCACAACAGAGCAAGGCGCTCACATTTTTTAAGTTGACACTGTATGCGTGGTTATTGTTTGCTTCGTGGTAGAGAGAAGGAAAGCCCCAGGTCTTTTCTATAGTACATGATTTTGATCTGGTACAGTTTGTCCTTTCAGCGACCTTATCATATGACATCAAACAGGGCTGGCAATGATTCTTAACTGTCATCTGCTCCTCCCAGCCACACCCTCAAGGGATGGCCTGCTCCTCACCCAGCATGAGCTGCCAGCGGGTGCACACCTGTGTTCCCGAGTGGCTAAGAATCGTGCTACAAACCCAAACCTTACAAGGGGTGGACAGTATCTGTTCATACTTGTTATTTGGACCATTAGCCGTGTACCAGGACAAGGCCAGAATAGATTTTCACTTCTAATTTTGTAATTTGGAGTCAGATAAAGGACAGTAAAGTCCAAAGAGAAGACTAGGATAAAATCACGGAAATAAAAAAGAAATGAACAGACTTCCATATACAATTATATTGCCTTGTAGGGGCTCCTGGGTGGCTCAGTCAGTTAAGCATTCGACTCTTGATTTCGGCTCAGGTCATGAGTCCAGGGTTGTGAGATCCAGCCCCACGCCAGGCTCCACACTTAGTGCAGAGTCTGCTCGTCCCTCTCCCTTTGCTCCTCCCCTGCTCATGCTCTCTAAATAAATAAATAAATAAATAAATAAATAGTGCAAACAAGCTTGTGTGTGAAATATGTAATGTTGGAGACAGATATGGGGAAATTGTTTTTATCTTAAAGGCTAAGTTTTGGGGTGCTTGGGTGGCTCAGTCAGTTAAACGTCTGCCTTTGGCTCAGGTATCATGATCCCGGGGTCCTGGGATGGAGCCCTACATCGGGCTCCCTGCTCAGAGGGGAGCCTGCTTCTCCCTCTCCCTCTGCCACTCCCCCTGTTTGTGCTCTCTCTCTGTCAAATAAATAAAAAATCTTTTAAAAAAAGGCTAAGTTTTAAGCTTGGTGCCTGTTTGAAGTATGGTGAGCATTCTGCTTTTATAGGAAAAGGAGTAAAATTTATTAGAACATGGCAATTATAGTAAAGGACAAATTCTGAATTAGGTATTATACAGTTTTCTATACAAAATGTATACTTTGCATTTTTGTAAATGACTAATTTCCAAGGTTCCTGAAGTTCATTGTCCTCTCCATCCGATGTGTGTGCTGCAGAGCAGAGGTGGACGCGGATGCATCTGGGAATGTGTCATGTGGAAACCACATACTGAGCTGAGGTTCAGAGTCTGAATTCTCAAAGTGAAACTCACCTATATTTTATTTTTAAATGAAATCATAAACTTCCCCCTAAATAATTCAGAAATCAGTTTTCTTGTGTTTTTTAAAACAAACTCAAGGTGTGTCATATGTAAATGGACAGAAATCACCCCCATTTCAGCTGCTTAGAGCCAGCACTTTATAGAAGGAAAAGGAAAGTGGTGAAAAAGGCAGAACAGGGAGGTGGAGTGTCCAGGAAGTTAAAGCTATTGAAATCAGAGTGGGTAATTTTGAAAGGCTGCATCATGATGTAGGCAGGAAGAGAAGAGAGAATCTTGGAGGAGGAAGAATAAGGAGAAAGGGTTTGGTGACAAAGTCCTAATGTCATTTAGTGGTGGCTGTGAACTTGTACAAAACCCAGAAAATGAGGAAAAATTAGATATGGAGGAAGAAGATGACAAAAAATGAGATTGAGAAGAGTTTAGTGTGAACGTGTCGACACTGGGGTTTTGGGTGGTTAACTGCTCCTTCAGTTCCCTCCCGTTTGCATTGTCCGTCAGGAGTCCTATCTACAGTGTGCCGTGGTGCTGAAGGCCAGCGATGAAGGGTGATTCGTGTGGAAGAACGGGAAGACCATGAGCATGGAGGCAGATGGCCCATCTGTGCGTGCTGTCGCTGCTGTGGATTTAGGGACCATCTGTACCAGAGGTGTGCTGTCCTCATCTGTAAAATGAGACAGTAGCTCTGAGATTGAATTTTGAGAATTAAATATTAATCCTTTTTACCTTCTCTACACTATATGACAAATGTGTGTTTTTTATTTTGGGAATCAGACATATATTGAATATAAACCAATTTTTTAAAAGATTTTATTTATTTGAGAGAGAGAGAGCATGAGCAGGGTTGGGGGGGTGGTGGGCAGAGGGAGGAGCAGACTCCCTGCTGAGCAGGGAGCCTGATGTGGGGTTTGATCCCAGGACCCCGAGATCATGACCCGAGCTGAAGGTAGACGCTTAACTGACTGAGCCACCCAGGCGCCCCCAAGTATGAGCCAATTTTAATTTTTTAGTTTTTTAATTTTAATTAAATTAATTAACATATAGTGTATTATTAGTTTCAGGGGTAGAGTTTTGTGATTCATCAGTTTTATATAATACCCAGTGCTCATTCCATCACGTGTCCTCCTTCATGTCCTTCAACCAGTTATCCCATCCCTCACCCACCTCCCCTCCAGCAACCCTCAGTTTGTTTCCTATGATTAAGAGTCTCTAAACCAATTTTTAAATGATGACTTTCTTCTCCTAAAAATATTTGTATCCCTCTTCTAAGAAAACCTTAAGAATACCACTAGGAGGCCAGCAATTCCAACTGTTTTGCTATTTTTCTGTTAAGGCACATGAATCTGGTTAAAACTGCTCATGAGACTGAACTTTGGAAGGCCTATGCAGAAGGAAATCACTGGAGGAAAGACTAGATGTGAAAATGAGGTGAAACCAGTCCGAGGTTCTGTGCTTCTGTTAACTCCAGCTTGCCCTGCAGTTGGACGCTGGCTTGCTGTTTTCTCTCCTGCCAAAGGGGTAAGGCATCATTTTGCTTCTCTGTGGAGTGAAATGGAGACAGAAACAATTGATTCTTGTAATTCATGGTACTTATGTGCTATAAAGCTGCTGTCAGTACTGAATTAGTGAATATGAACCACTGCTCCTCAGGAAATACAGCATTAGGTTCCTGCAAGCCGTGGTCACACCATTTTCAGCAACCAGTCAATACAAAACTTTGTTTTATGGGTGTTTTTGTTTAAAGACACCCTATGTAATATATATTGCTAATTCATTAACATTGAACGCACAGCCAACAGTGCTCTAACTCATCCTGAATGAAGCCCATCTAACACATACATTTTCTCCCTAAGGTACCACCTTCTTGCACATAGGAACACTAACATAGACTTCAGCAGTATACTTGGAGATTTTTTAAACACTGAAAACACCAAGAAAAGGCACAAAAATTCAGTAACAACAACAAGAAATGTGGCACTGAATGGACCATGGAAAGAACACATTTACAGTATGAGCTGAAACAAGAAGGCAGAGCACGGCCTGCTCAACCTCAGCAGGGTCAGGATGCCTCAAGCCCTGGGGTTGGCCTGGTGTGGCAGATGGTGGGTGCTCAGAAGGGAGCCATTATTAGCAAAGGCTGTGAAGTTTGCAGGCATGACAACTACTGAGCTGCCTAATCCCTCTGGGGAACTAGAAAGGGTGCTGCTCTCTGAGCTGCTGCTTGGGGTGGCCCAAGAAAGATGAGCACTCAATACCTCACTGATAAAAAGCTTCTTTAGATAACAGCATGTTTTAACTTTCTATTCATAAGCAAAACAAACCCATCGAAGTTAGGCTACAAGGAGCAAGAGTGACTGCACTCTACTTCTCTAAATTTGCTTCTTCTCTTAACCTTGAGTCTGCTCTATGCTTTTTTAAGAACATCACATCACATGTTCCAGCTTAGTTTTGCTGTCATTTGTGATGCAGGTGTGAACAACTTGCTCTACATCTCTAAGCTATGAATGTCCCACATGGTGCTTAGCTCCTCCCGTCTAAGCCATCACTGCTGTTTTACTGAAACACTGGACAATTTTGGAACCTGTCTCCTCCCTCTTTTCTCTGAATGGCTCTGTAATTCCTTTTTTTTTTTTTTGAAAAGATTTTATTTATTTATTTGACAGATCGAGACACAGAGAGAGAGGCAGAGCAGGGGCCCGATGCGGGGCTCGATCCCAGGACCCTGAGATCACGACCCGAGACGAAGGCAAGGACCCTGAGATCACGACCCGAGACGAAGGCAGTCGCTTACAGACTGAGCCACCCAGGCGCCCCTGGCTCTGTAATTCCTTTTAAAAGGAAGCATAATTCTCCCCCTATTTCTAATTTGTTTACTATCTCACTTTCTAAAAAGGTCAGACCTTTATTCTGGCTTTTGAAATCAAACAAACCAAATCAAATAAAACATCAATTGACAACATTAAAAAGGTAATTTCTCTGAGCTTCTGAGAGAAACTCATTACACACCTCTAAGAGAAGCCTCATGAGGATCCTCCTCAAGGGTGAGGGAACTTCAGGGTTGCCTCAGATGACTCTCAGGTACAGTAGAGACAGAAAATAGTAATGAGGACATAAATGAGGTGAAGGACCCAGAAAGGAGAGCTCAGATCAAGAAACTCTCTCAGAGTAACAAAAGCTAGGGGTTGTTGAAAGGGACCCTGAGGGTACCCTGGGGAGACAGAGCCTTGCAAGTGCTAATGGGTAAAGGGGCTCTATAGGCTAGGCAGGGATTTCCTGTGCACAGAGTCCTAAGGACACCAAGTTGATTATACTTTCATAAGCTGTTCTGACTTATAGTCAAAAGCAAGTGGGCTGGACCCCAAGCTTACTGTAAAGGATCCCACCTGTTTGTGTTTGACCCAAATCTTATCTTTCAGGTTGTTGAAGAACAACACAAGTTGACACCACAGCCTCTCCAGGCAGTTTACCAAAAGGTAGGACATTGGGGAAGAGTGGAGCGCTAAGAATTGGAATGTGGATCTTTGAGAGGATTCTGATGAATATGAGAACCCTAACTTCCAGTTTCACTGCACCTCTCTCTTCGTTAGAATCCAGTGCTCTCCCCGACCTGAAGGCAGCCTCCCTTGTTGAAGGCTTTGTAATGTTCTCACTGAAGCAATTAGCTTGCAAGAGAATGCTATTCTCAAGGCCCACCTCACCAACTTTTGCTGCCTCCAGACCCATTACCTGCACACCATGGGAGATGAATACAAAGTCTGAACTGGGTAAAGAGGCATATACAAAGATTTTTTTGTAGTTGTTATCAGAAGAATCCTGAGTAAAATGTTTGAAAGTGATTTTATTGACATTATAAAAGGAGGAGAACAGTGTTGGATTGAGATGAATTTACTGATATAGATGTACTTAGCAAATATTTGGGATTCACTGTTAGCATGAGCAGTTGATTGTGACTCCTACACTTTGCTTTGTTGGTTGATTAATAGCTGGAGTAATTGGTGGCCACATTAAATGAATTTGAGAGCCATAACTTCCTTGATTTAATGTAGAGGAAGGAATCTCTAGGCTTCTGATGGAATAGATTTATGATAATAATGGAATGGAGTGAGATTCCTCATGCATTTTCTCACTTGGTTCTGCTAAGAGGGCACTGAGACATTCTTTTTACCAAAGTATGGAGAAATATATTAATGAAAGGAACACTAGTATCCTTGAAGAACTCATATAAACCATTTTCTACTTGATAATGGAATGCTGCTGGGCATGTCCAATTTGATGCCTCTCTTGCCCAGCCTGACAGTGGTCCTGAGGTGGGCATCCCTGATCCAGCATTCCAGAGTCAAGCCTAGTTAGTGCTTTGTCCTTCAGTACCAGGAATTCTGGAGAAGATGCTCATTTGAGGTATAACCAACAAAAGGTGGTAAAGCTTTTCTACACACATGAAAAGGAAAAAAATTAAAGTTTTCTTGAGATGCAGGTGAACTAAAAAATCTAGAGAATTGACACCATGATGATAGTGTGTGTATGTGTGTGCCTGTGTGTGGTTATAGATAAGCAGCATGCCTCCCCCCGTCTTTGTACATGCTAACCCTTTACCTAGAAGGCTTTTATCCTCCTGTTCTGATGGTCTAAAACTCCATTTCTTTTCAAGATTCAAGTCAGGCCTCATCTTTTCCAGGAAAAGTTTTCCTACACCTCCCTTCTCCCAGAAGATGCAGTATAAACATTTATCAGCACATTATCATTGTGTATTATCAATATGGATTCTTTTGACTATCCTTCCCACTGACTTCCTTCTCAAAGACAAGGGATATTGGTACTCAGTATTTGTGGATTGGAATGCTTAACAAGATAAACTCTCAACTATAAAAAGGAATAAATCATCAAAATGGTGGATTTTTTTGTAATGTTACTTTATTATTTGGGTAAAAGATTCAGATATGAAGTATCTAAAGTATATTTCACAGTTTATTGGAAACTAATAAACAGGGTTGACTGCAAAGGTGATAGAAAGAAAATAAAGGAATAGCAGAGCTTCTATTTTGTCCATTTTAAATCTTCTAATCTGCTTTCCTCCTGTGACCTACTTTCTAATAATGTAGACTTTGACTACAGATAGTCATATCAAAATCAGCATTTGCTCTTGTGGAAAATATGAGCAATGGGAAAGTAATTTAGCTTCCTTACTATTATCACATTGAGCCTCTTTAATATGCTGGTATCAGTAGAGACAGTGGACTTGTCAAAGACTGACTTTTCCCATCCCTGATGTGAGAAGTATACCAACCCTGGAAAGTTGGCAAGTGGAAAAACAGCATTGTAATTTTAGTTGAAATACAATTTTTTACTTAACAATCATTCTACATGCGTTTCATGCACATCACGAAACTGTAGACCCAAGGAAATGCTTATTTGTGCTTGACACTGTACTGGGTGCTGAGTATTCAAAGCACATTGGAAGTATTAGAAATAAGTACCGCACATGGCTCCAAAGACCCAAATAAGTAATTCTGTTTTTTTTTTTCTTACCAATAGCCAATTGATCAAAAGAGCAGACATTCATTGTTGATTTAAAATTTAATGGATCCACATACACTTCAGAATGTGTATTTTGCTGTTGGTGAATGGAGTGTTCTTTATATGTCTGTTTTAATTGATTTTTAATGCTGTTCAAATTCTGTTTCCTTGTTGATCTTTTGTCTAGATGTTCTATCCATTATTGAAGTGGAATATTGAAGTCTTCAGCTGTTAATGTAGAGCTATTTTCCGTCCAATTCTATCAATGTTTATGTATGTTTTTGGGTTCCATCTGTTTAGTGCATACGTGTTTATAACTATTATATCTTCTTGATGAATTGACCCTTTTATCAATATGTAATGCCATTTTTTCTTTCTTGTAACAATTTTTTTAAAAGATTTTATTTATTTATCTGAGATAGAGCAAGCAAGCATGGGTGCACGAGCAGGGGAAGCAGCAGGCAGAGTGAGAAGCAGGTTCTCTGCTGAGTAAGGAGCTGACACGGGACTCGATCCCAGGACCCTGGGATCATGACCTGAGCCAAAGGCAGATGCTTAACTGACTGAGCCACACAAGCATCCCTATTTTTTAAAAAGATTTTATTTATTTTTTTGAGAGAGAGAAAGAGAGAGAAAGAGAGAGTGAACAGGAGGGAGGAGTGGAGGGAGAGGGAGAAGCAGACTCCCTGCTGACCCTTTACCTAGGGTCAGGGAGCCTGACACGGGGCTCAATCCCAGGACCCTGGGATCATGACCTGAGCCGAAGGCAGACACTTAATTGACTGAGCCACCCAGGCATCCCTCTTGTAACAATTTTTAACTTAAGTCTACTTTGTCTAGTATTAGTATAGCCACTTCAGCTCTTTCAGTATCTATTTGAATGGAATATCTTTTCCTATCATTCCACTTTCAACTTATTTGTCTGTGGGTCTAAATTGAGTCTCTTATAAGCAGCATATAGTTGAATCGTGTTTTTATGTTTTTAATTTTTATTTATTTTTTAAAAGATTTTATT